CATGGCCAAGGAATAAAAACGTTGCTTGAAGTAATCTAAAAATTGACTTGACCCAAAGAGTTGTGAGATCAATACCTGGCCACAGCATAGGAAACAAAAACTTGGAGAGTTGAATTACTAAAGGGAATTAATTGAATCTAAGTTATCCAAAAAAGGCATGGCACGTGGAATTAGAAGAATAAACGTATATCACCCGAAGAAAGCCGCAGTGTACAACGGCCGAAACGTCGGGAATATGATAATAAAGATAAGGACAACAATCCCAATTATTAAATAGTGTAAATAGTCACAATACCTCATCCCAGATATATAAACAGATGTAAATTGTTATTTCCACAGATCTAAATATTTATACTTGATTTATTTTATAAGCATAGAAAATATTTTTTACTCTACGAGGAAAAGTGTTGTAATACCTTTCTTAATGCATTGATTCTTTGAACAACCGAGTCAAATTGAAGCCTTAAAATGGACACTAGACTTGAGCTGCTTCTTTAACACTTATCTCTTATAATTGATAGTCAGTCAAGTGCCATTCGTGATATATGCTTGGGCGATCATGTCTCGTTTGATTCATGATTGACTTGATAGAAGATTTCCCGCAGTATGTTGCCGTTTCTTTCTGCGGTACTGGTTGCCATCCAAGGTTATAGGACCCAGTCTGTCATGCAATTGGATCCATACCTGTGGGGCGGAGGTGGTGGTGAGAAAAGATAAATTCATACCTTTCCCAAGTGTAAGTGAATATAACGAACCCGGTTGGAATTCGAACTCGGCTCTCTGATTTTTCATTCCGAGCCGTTACCCATCATATCACCTGCACATCCAGCTTTACATCACCTGTTATTCATAAGCGGTCACCCATTTAGGTACTTCGATTTTTCCTTCTGAGCCATTATCAGTTGTTAGATCACACCGCAAATCCATAAAAATAATTTATGAAATGGTTGAGAGAAGAATGTAAAAAAAAAAAAAAAAAAAAATACCGGTTCTTTATTTATCTTTTTGTTTTAACAAGAATTTTATGTTACAGTCTATGATTATATCCTCAATAAATACTTTGCATTCGTTTAACTTCAGGAACGTTAGCTCTTTACTATTTTTATAACTGAACCGGATTTGCACTGAATTTTTACGATTATGTTGCTCTTTTCTAGTAGCTGACAGGATAGGAATTTAATATTTCATTCTGTTTTGACATTCTGATATTACGATTACCAAGGAAACGACTAATATTAAAATACCCATTGTTATGAATAATAAAGAGTGATCTCCCCTTGTTTTGTTACTCTCTTCTCTGAGAGAACTATTTCTGAACTATTTCTGTTTACTGGGATTATAAAAGGACACTATACGCGAACCTTGTATTCTACAGTTGAATGAAGCTTTCTTACATCTGCGTACTTTTGCCATTACACCCATTACCAAGGTAACGGCGATTATTGCCATTGCCATTACCAAGGAAGCGGCTAATATTACCATTACCATATTATTAATTAAGCTTGATTAGTTCTGCATAAGGTCAATTGTAGGGGAGAGATTGATAATATTAATTAATATTAGCTTAGTATGTCTCAAAGCCACAGTAGCAAGGCAATCAATGAAGTGAAGATTGAACTAACTACATTAGCTATTTACTCTACACGATGAGCTCAATGGCCAAAAGCGTCCGAGTCATTGTAAAGATCTCTGTCAGAAGGATATCGTTTATTTCCGAGATACTTTTAAAGTCTATAATGTCTTGTGAAATTTAGAGAAAGTTATGAAATAAATAAGATTCGCTGTGGGTGTCTGGAAATAGAATGTTCTCGGATCTGATCCAAATTTGCTAGAAATTTCTTTATCTTAAAATTGTCCGATTTGGGGAAGAAACTGAATACTATTTGTGTAATCATACGTGAAAAGTTTTCTTTTTTTTTTACGAAAGAAAGAAAAACAACACGTGAATGATGTGAAACTTTTTGTGGCTACTACTACTACTACTACTACTACTACTACAACTGCTGCAACACCTTTTTCTTTATATATATGGGATTGCTTTTGTACTTAGTCCGATATTCGCCTTACTTTCTTTTTTTATTTCTTTTTATTTATCTATTTATTTAAAGGACAAAAACTGGTAGGTTGTTAAGGTTCACTTAATGGGTTTTATGATATTTAAATAAACATTATTCTATCCACTTAAAAAAAAGAGGCATGTGCTTAAAAATCGGGTCCAAAAAGGCACAATGGATAATAAAAGAAGTGAGGGGTTGGAAATTACAACATAAAATTCAATGACAGAAAAAAACAAAACAACAAAAAAAAAAAAACAAAAAAAAAACGTTGGATTACCCTGCAGGAGGAGGAGTGAAAGAAGGGCCGGTGACGAAAAGACAAATAAAAAGAGGAATAGGAAGAGGAGAGAAAAAAAATGGTGATATAAAGAAGCGGCAAAAAAGAATTGAAAAGAGGAACATTAAAAGGAAAAGTAAAAATTCAGAAAAAGAGTTAAAAAATACAAACTGTGTGTTTGGGTGGAACGGGGAGTTTGGATGCAATGTCCCAAAACGGTAAAAAAAATAAAATAAAATAAATAAAAATAAAATAATAAATGAACAGTAAAAAGAAATGAAAATGAAAGATTTTGCAAACAATTCTTTGTTTTATTCGTTCTTATTACCTGTATTTAATTCGGGTAGCCAACAGCGGAGATTAATTAAATTAACACAATAGCAGATACCCGTATACTGATTTTAGTATGTGTGGCTGTTTCGGTCCGCCGTTACAGTCGGGAGGTTTTTTTCTCTTTCTAAGCTGTCGTCTTACTTCTCGTCAAATTAGCCTCCATCAAGGAAAGACTGCTTGTGTATAAAGAATGAACGAGTGTACGTGAAAGTTCGGTTGCAATATTAGCGAGTACAATTGTGAGTACATGTGCAGTATTTGTGGTTATGCCGGCTTGACTGCCTATCCCAATCGTCTCCACACACCAATTTCGGGTGTCAGCTTTTATTGTAGGGGAAGACCGGGGCTAGTCTGAGCATTTTTTGCTCAGAGGGAATTAATTCATAAAAACGCAAATATGACTAAAAGTTACTACAGAAAATAGACTTCCTGTGGATTTTTTAAAACTTTAGTTAACTTTATTATATTATCATTTAAACATACGGTAAAGTGCTACAATTTAATAGAGTAAGTTAGTTCTCTTGTTATTAAGTAAATATATGTTGAACATTTTTAGAAAGCCATTAATAGGAGTAGATAGGTTCGCCTATCGTCCGGTTCACACCTCCCCGGTCTTTTGAACAGGGGTAGAGGTTTATCACTGGTTTCCTGTTTACAATTTGGTTTCCGGTTTCTTCTGAAGTCTTTTCATTCTCTTTCACTTCAATTAGCCCTTGCGTCTTAGTGGAATTATCGCCTTGTTTGGGGTGAAATGATTATAAGAAATATCCTTCCAGGATGTAGGCGATTATGTCTCTCTTCAAATTCTTTTCTTTTCAATATCCCTGAATTGCCTGGGAAAGATAGCAGAGTGGTTTTCTGTTGCCTTTTTAATAGCTTTGAATTCAAAGTAGTCTTTTTCTTAGACTGACTGCCACCCAAAGCTAGAAACTCCAGTCTACTTCGCTATTTAACCCATAGCTGGGGTTGGGGTGAAGAGATGGATTAATGCTTTTCCTAAGGGCATTTAAACCAGGTAGAAGCATCAACAGTAATAGAAAATGCATTCGAATAAAAGGTATTAGGAATCCATGTAGAATCATATGGGAATAGACGTCAGGGGTGCAAAAGGTCATAAGGTGGAAAATGAAAGAAAAGGACCAAGAAGAGAATGACGTCATTAAACAGAAATTTATTGCCATCCTCCTCCCAATAAAATGAAGACAGATGTCAAAACAACATCTTAGCAACCAAAAAGTAAATTATTATTTTGATTAATTATTTTACACAATTTTCTTTAGTAAGGCGATAAAGCCACTAAGACGCAAGGAGTTACTGAGAGTGAAAGTACTCGATAAAACATTACTAGTTGTTTTGGTTGTTTTATTTTATGGCATATCAACCTCAGTGGGTCATTTAATGCCAACAAGATTTTGAAATAGATTCATAGCGATAGTTTGATAATAAAAAAAGATGTGTATGTATACATATATATTTGAACCAGTTTTCAATTACTCATATTTTTGAGTACAATCCTAACCTCTTTTAGGAAATTTAGTTTGTATTGCTGTTTTTTTAAAAAAAGTATTGCTGATAATTTTTCCTTCAAAAATGATTGCTGGTAATATTTTTTTTATTACAAAGTATTTCTGGTATTAAAACCTATTTTTACACAAGTTTGGGTGTTAACTATTTGCCCATAGCTGGGACCCAAACAGGTGCTACCACTCCAGGTCAGAGTGGACCTGGGAACACCAGCAATTAAGAGGTGGTTCCACGCTCCTCAAAACCTCCTGATCAGAGGCCTTGCTGTTGAACGTAGTTTATCGTCTTACCCAGGACGCGGATGTAGTTTATCGTCTTACCCAGGACGCGGATGTAGTTTATCGTCTTACCCAGGACGCGGATGTAGTTTATCGTCACACCCAGCTCAGAAAACATTACTGAGGGAAGAGGAAAAAAAAAAGACAGATGACGAAGATACACGCTAGGTTTAAATTTTTGAAGATCGTAGTTGACAGGAAAGCTCGATGAGAGTTCTACAGGTGAGAGAAGAAATTATTAGAATAGAAATTACGGTTACATCTTGCAATTTCAACATTAAAATGGTGGAACCTAGCTGCCAATCTAGTACTACGCTTAAATTCATGCGTTCGAGGTGCCAAAGAGTAAAGCTCATCAGAACAATTGCCATGAAAATATTCATAAAAAAAGCAGAGAATCAGATTCAACCTCATCAAATGTATAGTTTTGGGAAACAAATTAATCCCAGCTGTTTCATGAAATTCACCCAAAATGTGTCTATATATAACAAGATGTCTCCTTTATCCAATAATTATTAGGCCTTGAACTGGAATAAGTTTGTACGCACACTGAACAAAAGGTTTCATTCTCTGTGGATTCATCCGTGTTATTAGTATTTCTTTTCTTTATAGCTTCTTTCTCACGTTTCATTTTTCTCTGAACACATTTGAACTTATTTTTAAAGTTTACTTTCTTTTTTCTTTTTACCCTTTTTCAACCATTTTAGCGCTTACATTCTTTTCAAAGGGTTCAGTGAAATTTTTAAATCTGGTGAAGAGTTTTCACTAGATAGGTTCAACGCTAACTTTTTCAAGAGAAAACATTTGATGAATGCTTCTTGGTAGGAGGTACAGGGCTTTAATCAAACTCTACCTCTTTGACCTTAATGACAGGACTGTGATGCCTATTTAACCCAAGTGTCAATGAAACCCTTTTCAAAACAAAATTTCATCTCTGAACAAAATTCAAAATTTAATAATCTATGATGATTCCACTGATGTTTCTAGTATATAGTTCCTATCAATTCTACAATCTTGCATAAAAAAATTTAAAATCAAAGTTTTATTACGGTTTCCCATAAATTCACCTAAATGATTATTATTAAACACATTTAGAAAATAAAACAAAATGTTATCTTTAGATAAATGAAAAAACTTGATAATATTGTTGCTTGTTCAACGACTATACAGTTTATTAGCTATTATGACAACATCAGAATAAATAAACATCAATAAGCATCAGTTTCTCAGTTATTATGACAACATCTAAATTTTTGAATTTAAACACAAATATAAATTCGCGACAATATCCTGGGGACTATAATAACGTTATTCTACAATGTATTTTTTTTTTTTTCAATTTCATAAATTGCACTATTTTTTTTGGACGTCAGTATCTTAACTTTGCAAAACTGTCATTAGACAACGCTGGTTATCAGGTAGGCGCATTTGTCTACTTATTTAGCGATATCTTAATTTCATTCCCTTTTTCTGGTAGGATATTATGTTGACCTAAAGACGTTATTATTACGTTCTGGTATGTTTGTCTCGGTGGAAGGAACAAAATCGCTTGGGCGAGCAAGCGGTTACCTGATCAAACAAGCGTCTTTGAAATTCATCTTATTCAGATACTCATTAGGTTTATTTGTCAATTGTGATTGAACACTGTTGTGCATTAAAATTTATCCTGAAATATGTCTTTGTTAGGACAAATTGGCTCCTGAAAATGCCTTCAAAAATCAATATCTGTCTGAAATTGAATTATTGACACCAAAATAACACCCATGGATAAGCCACGTCAATAAGAGAAAGTATTTGATATTGGTCAATAAATTAAATAATGGTATCCAAAATATTTCTTTTTATTGAATTAATCTATCCCCCATCTCATCTCTTCTCTCTTGATCTCTATAAAATATATATATATATATATATATATATATATGTATATAATGTGTTTTTTTTATGTTTCCTTCCATTATATATATATATATATATATATAATTATATATATATATATATATATATATGTGTGTGTGTGTAAATTATTTTAAGACAAGTATTTTTTTGAACAAAATGAATTTTAAAAATACATTGATGACGAGACATGAGAAACTAATAATATTTTTTTTTTTTTATTTTTATTCATATATATATATATATATATATATATATATGGGATATTATATATATATTTTCCAATTCAAAAAAATTTTTTGATTTTTTCGAAGTTTGTTTTCCGATTTTTCAAAAAAAAATGAAATGGAAATGTTTTTAATTTATTTTTTTTTCAAATTTTGAAAAAGTTTCGGAAGGTAGAAACGGAAAAAAAAATAAAAAAAAAAAACTATATATCAATCTGTCTTGTCCACAGAATAAAAAAAAGTTAACAATAATTTATATTTTGATTTTTCTGGATTGAGTATGAATTACCGATGTTTACCTATCGACTGAAGTATAAACACGGCCAATGTTTGTCATAGCTTCAAGTATAACGAAAACTGATCAAAATAAAATAAAATATAAGAAAAATATGTCGAAAATTTTAAAAACCAATCCAGTCTATTGTTTTGTGTAGTTAGTATGATGCTCACTGAGTGTTCCGTTTTGTGTGAAGCTCAGCTAAACTTAATATGTATCTACAACTATACGTATGTAAACGTTTTGTAACAATATTTTGAAACTTAATTTGAAAAAAAATAAAAAAAAAATCTAAATTTTGACAATTTGGTATTCATATTTTTAGAATAATTGTATGAATCAAAAAGTCTTAAGAGTTTTTATTTAAATAATTGTCGACATTATCATTTCATCATTTGTGTCTGTCTGTTCGCGAAGATTTGAATTAATGGGCGTTCTCATTTCCAACATGTTTCCTGAATTTAGGAACTGCATGCAGTAAATTCTCAAGCACTCAGGGTTCTCTTACTTGAAAAGCGAGCTCAAGCTAAACTTAATTTCAAGTTCTATATTCATTGTCGAATATTTTGAAAATTGATTTGTCTGAGAGG